AAATTTAGTAGTTAAATAAATGCCGATATGTAACCAATTATGATATTTTCCAACAAGATTGATACACACAAGTTTTCTTCGTTTTTATACAAAATTTGTTTTAATATACAAAACAATAATACAAATTTATAATAAACAGTTATTACAAACTAGCTACTACAAACAATGATATAAAGTCTTCTTTCTAGTCTGGAACTTCTTTGATGTCTTGTCGAAGGTTCACGATGAGCGAGTTAATTTCGAGTTGACGTAGGTACAATTCACTTTATAGGGAGCTAGCTAGCTCTGTAGTTTTCGCTGATCACACGCCGATTACAAGACGAGTTTCTTTTACCACTGAAGATATATAATATATTCGTAAAGTACGAATGTCCGATGTGAATTCACTGAAGTTAAACGGTTTGTAATATTAGAAATTTATAAATGTTCCTGGTCAAATATCTGAAATGTGCCAATTAATAAGCGTTATAACAATCACAGTTATAGCTTCCGAAGTTTATAGCACACCAACTATAGCAAACCAATAATAGATACTGTTTTTTAGCACGTCGCATTGGTTATATTTGTAGGCGTGTGGAGAGTTTCTCCAAACTTCAGTTTTACGCAACAATACTAACACTAACGTTTACGTACACACAAATATGATTGATTCTTACACTCGAGAATCTTCAACAACTTTAGAGAATAGGCGGGAGTTTCGCAATACAGATTTAACATTATAAGTTATGTACATTTTTAAATATAGATTAATTTAAACAAACATCGATATCAAAAATGATTACATAATACTGAATCTGTCACAGTTAACATTACATTAATCCCACAAAGAAAAATTGTCATTGACATTGAAGAAAATCTTAAAATAGAGCAATATTATTATAATTTTATTACTGAATACTCTCCCATAGCAAGAAATATAAAGTGAAACTTTCAGACCATTATATACTTGGAAGACACAAAATAGCTGACTGGTAATACTCATAAAATAATAAAATTATAACTCTTCGTTGTGATTTTAAGGGAGAATTGCTTGTGATGTTGGTGTCCAATAATAATTACGTCAATAAGCGCACAAAGAGCTTCCCGAATATTTATTTTTATGGTTTACGTCATCTTCAGTAAAGTCACCCGGTGGAACAGAGGTAAGTCTATGTACTTACAACGTCAAAATCAGGGGTTTGATTCCCCAAGGTGGACACAGCAGAGAGTCCAACGTGGCTTTTCTCCAAAACAAACAAAAGCTTCAGTGAATTAAGAATCTATCAAAAAAGAAAGAAAAAGAAATATGAAACAAAATAAATTACCTGATCTTAACAAACTACATTTAGAAATATTAGTTTAATATAAGAAACCATTGCATATAAACCATGCTTTTATGTTTACTATATTTACTCATTTTAAACTTTTAAGCATAGATATTGTTGTAAAGTATATTTTCAATATTTTAATTTAGATGTTATTGTTAGCTAGAAAGCGCGTGACATTAAATTAGTTCTAGAATACCAAGAACTTTCGGGAATAAGTGATCGAGAGGTTTTGCGAGCTCCCCAGTGGCAAAGCGGTATGTCTGCGGACTTACAACGCTAAAAACCGGGTTTCGATACCCGTGGTGGGCGGAGCACAGATAGCCCATTGTGTAGCTTTGTGCTTAACTTCAAACAAACAAACAAGGTTTTGTCAAAATAGTCTAAAAACAAATGCTACATTATAAATGGAAGAATCAGCGATATTAGCGC